TATAATTTATAGTTTAAGTACATCCCAATTAGGTTGGCACCTACTTAAATCTTAACTATAATTTAGTTGTTCAAAAATTATATATTTTAATATTTGTTTTCCAATCAATTTTTAGGAACTGCAAAAATTTTAAAGTGTTCAGCAGCATCATCAATAATTTTATCTTACTCTCTCCCCCCTTTTTTTCAAATTAAAAAAAAAAATTTCACGGGTCAGCGGGTTAACCGCGGCCCGTGAAGGAGCAACCCGCGAAGCCCGCGAGTCACACCACCTCGACCCGTGAACCGCCCGCTCAGGTCACGGGTCGGCCCGCGGTCCCGGGTTGATCCAGGCCGATTTTCACGGGTCTGGCCGACGTTTCTGTCTTGACACCTCTACACCTCAGAATGAGTAACGGGCCACAAAATTTACCCCAAGGCCTCGTCTTCTATGGCTGATGCTTTGGTAAGAGTGGATACACAGCTACAATGGGTACCACGTGGTAGTGCTAGTGGCGAGTCATAATAGATACAACCAATTCTTTCGAAATATTAATTGATTGATCAGCATGAAGAATTTAAAGAATTTAATTATATAGTTAGACCATGCAAAAGATTAATTAGAAGTAATTGTCTTATGGATTACCTAAATTCTTAATAGCATAATGGACATTATTCATAACGTCAAGGATATTTGATTTCGTTAACATCCGACCTTCGAGATCGTTAAGTACAGTTTGTTGTATGCATTAAGCTCGGATATTTGAGATCAGCTCGTATTAGTTATTGCTGAAGTTTGAGGGGACATAATGATAGAAAATTCCTTACACATTATACAAATAGTCGATCAACAAGTAACATTTGGAAGGTCTTACACCAGCGCCCACCAATTCCACCAATCAAATGCCTCAACTTCATTTCCTAATTAGTTCATTAATTGCTGGGGACCACATGTAAGGTAACTTATAATGACCTGACATAGCCGAGCTCAGTAACCAATCCAAACATGCCAATGATATACTTTTTCAGCTCGGTATTGTAGCTGATAAGACAAGGAAATGAAGAATGTATGCTAACCGTTCCCTATAAAAGGAAGAATGAGAGTCTTGGAGAAGGAGAAGAAGAAAAAAAGCTCTACGCTTCATATTTCAAATATCTCATTAAGAAAAAAGAGCAAACACTTGTAGTTGCAATTGTAATTTGCAAATCATTATCAATAAAATTCTTATTTACATTTTAAGTTGGTTTGAATTTTGTTCATACAATTTTTGACATTAGCAGATTTATCTATGAGTAAGATCCATTAATAAAATGAAAAACTACGAAAATAGTGAACATGTTTCCGTGTTAGGAAATTGCTGTTTTATTTGATATGGTCAAAGAGCTTGCTTAATCATTTTCTACAGAATGATTTAAATATGAGCTCAGTTTTTAGTTACATCAAAATAATGTTTATGATTAGTTCATAGAAATGTTGAAGAATTGTAAGATTAAAAACGAAAATAATCAGAAAGACACAATTGTCATTTTAGTCCAAGCAAATGGTAAGTTTGAAGATTTAATTGAAAGAAAAAATGCTTATGTGATTTTATATAAATCGAGAGATCAGTCTCGTGCTTTTAGGTTAATTTAGCGATGACTAGAAACTAAACAGTTGCTTGATTTTATCTAGTTATTTTGAGATTGAATTATACTTTGCCCTTGTTTGGTACACATTTTGAGTCCAAGAATGCATTTTTTTTTTGTTTGATGTGATGGAAAATATGTGATTGAAAAAGAATGAAAAGTTATTGATGTGATAAAAAATATTATTTTATTGAAGAATGTGTGGTTGAAAATGAGTAGAAGAATGAGAATGAAAAAAATAACGTGGCTCAAACAAGGCCTTTAATTGAAGTCCATGAATTACACAATCAAAACTTATCAAAGGTCAAATGGTTTTGACCAAAATAAACAGTGCTTTGACTAGTTAAATGAATTTGATCAAGAGTAATTAACTTTGATCAAGTGTAATAAGGACTTGGTCTTGCCAATATATCTAAAAATAAATGTCCTCAATGTTACTTGCAAAACTCTCGACAAGTCAAAAAACAAAAGATGAAAGGTGTGGAATTTGAAATTTTTTAATTAAGACAAAGTTACCCCTTGTTTGATTGTTACAATTTTCATAGAAAATATTATATTCGAGGAAAGCGAATTCCATTTGGCCGTTTGATTGCAACGTGGGAATGAAAATCGAATTCTAAGGTACAATCACTTTTGTAATACCCAAACTAGGAAATGTTAAAAGATTTGATAGGTACTACTCATACCAATAAGATGCACCTTCTTTTTCGGAAGTCCATCGTTAGAAACTCCACAATTAAGCGTACTTGACTTGGAGTAATTCTATGATGGGTGACCCCCTGGGAAGTTTTTCTTGGGGAGCGTGCGAGTGANAGTACGTCGTCGATCTAACGGCCAGGACAGCCCGTTAAGTGGGACCCGGGTCGTTACAAATGGTATCAGAGCCGTTTGCCAGTCGGAAATCGGGAACTAAGTGCTATGCGGGACAAAGTGCTACGCCATAGGACGAGAGTCACCTCTGGAACCCGTAGGAGCCATCTCTAGAATCCCAACGCGTGGCAACGGATCCTCAGATGGATCAAGCGCGACGAGGACGTCACGAGTCTAACGGGGGGTGATTGTAATACCCAAACTAGGAAATGTTAAAAGATTTGATAGGTACTACTATACCAATAAGGTGCACCTTCTTTTCCGAAAGTCCATTGTTAAAAACTCTACAGTTAAGCGTTCTTGGCTTGGAATAATTCTATAATGGGTGATCCCCTGGGAAGTTTTTCTCGGGGAGCGTGCGAGTGAGAACAAAGCATGCTGAAAAGACTCATGTTGGTACAGTGGGGACAGTGCGTCGTCGATCTAACGGCCGGAACAGCCCGTTAAGTAGGACCTGGGTCGTTACAACTTTGAACTGCATTTTCTTTGTTTTCATAGAAAACGAATTTCTATATGTTTGGTAGGTTTTTATTTTTCAATTAACTTGGAATTGGAATTCATTTCCACCTATACATGTGAAACTGACCCTTAGTAAAATGACCTCAAACTGTGCACCATATAACTTTATTTCACCTACACCTATCAAACTGGGCAAGTGCCGCCCCCCTCCCCGCCCCCACAACTTTTGAGGTTTTTTTTTTTTTTTACAAAATCATGTTTGGTATCGATTGAAATATCAATTTTAATCTAAATCAAAGTTAACAATTAATTTTAATAACATATTTCATGAAATTCATAACTATTTAATTTTTATCAAAATTTAATTTTAATCTCCATCAAATAGGGGAAAAATCACAATAAGTTTTAATTTTTCTCTTTTTCTCTCGCATTTTAACAAAATCTTAACTCTCCATCGAATAAGGGCGAAACATTGCCTTCTTAATACCTTTCAAAGTGTTCACTGTCTAGTTTTCTACGTCGTTAATGACATACGAAATGATCAATTGTAGCAAATGTTACGACTTGTCGAAGTAAGCCGTTCAAAATTAGTATGTCAAAAATTTTGATAATATGCTAATTTTAAAAAATTTTCGACGATCGTACGCTAATCGAATCTACAAATTGCTGATCATGTCATCTCAAATCTTATTTCG